CTATTAGTAATATCTTCGTTAAAGACTTTGATGGCGACAGCTCAAACATGAAAGGTTGAGCTTTATTAGCTCCACCTTGCGGAAATTCCGGATACTATTATTTTGCTTGTCGTATTATAGGAGAATTTACGGTAACTAGCTGTATTTACCGGTAACTCGCGGTATTTATTGGTAACTTGCAGTAGACTGCGTACAGCGTACAGCAAAATAATGCGGTATCGCCCGCGCATTTTGAATGGCTGCATCTGTAAGAGCTGTTTAATCTGAATCAACAGGCAGCAAGTTGAGGACAGGCTACATAAAGATCTATGTGCTGATACTGCACAGCTGAAGTCTGATAAAAGTCTGAACAAGCAAAAATATCAATAACGTTATGAACATGCACTGGAAGAGCAGAGTTCAGCTGGAATGAAAACCAGCAGACTGTGTTCCTGCAGCCACAGGGCTGGGAGCCACTGCTCTGATTTATTTTCATGCCCAGGGAAATGTGAGAATGAGTGTCAGTGAGACTGACCTCTGGAGGGGTTCTCGGCGTACAGACCTCCAGCCTGTAGAGATCACTGTGCTTTGGAAAGAAGAGCCCAGAGGCCCTGCAGGCTTTTTGAAAGCTCCATCTTTACTTGATGAATGGATTCGGCAGATTCTCTGTCATTCACACACTGGGCTGCCCTCATGGCAGACTTCCTGGACGTCTCGATCCCCATGTGGAGCAGGGCGGTGTGCTGCCCCGTGAAGGAGACTCTCTGAAAGGGCACGAGCAGGTCTTGGTGATAATCTGTCAGTTGGAAGGGTGTGAAGAGCACAAGGCACCAGGCTGGACTCATCCAGGCTCCACTACTTCACCAGCCCACCTTTGTACAGAGCGCGGACGCCCTCGCCATGGATGGCAGCCAGGTCACTCAGCGCCAGCTCCTGGCAGGCCTCTTCACTCCTCCCCAGGAAGAACAGGGACTTGTCCAACCAGGTGTGAGGCGCCAGGGGAGATCGGGGTTAAATCTGATACTCAGTGTTGTGTCGTGTACAGCGTCCATTTGGGTTTTACTGCTTTACGGTACTTATGTGCCTTGGCAGGCTTTTGCCATTCTGTGTCAGTTACGAGTTATGCACAATAAAGAGCAGACCTCTGTGAAAACTGTCCCCCTCATTCCCTGGTCTATCGCGGTGTAACACTCAGAGTCGGCTTGGCCGTGCTTGTGAACAGGAGGGAGTCCGCCGCTGTTGTTTTGCCTGAGTTGTCTGTTTGTGTTTGTACGCAACCTGGACACCTCCTCTGGTCTGGTTTATTTCCAAAACTCTTGAATCCAGAAGCACACAGCTGCTTCAAAGGTCTTTACTCACAGCCTGAGGCAGCAGATCTGTGCCTCCATTTCTTTTGTAAAACCTGATGGAAACAGATCAGACGGACAGATCATTTTTATTTTCCTTCCCATTTCCCAGTACTGTCAATCTGAAAGCATTGTAAATATTAATATGGTTTCTGTTTTCAAATTACTAGATTTCTCAGGACTATAATAAGTAGTCTCAACACTTTTTAATCAATTTTCTCTTTGTTTTAGGAAAGAGTCACCAGTTCTAATAGAAATTTAGAGCTGCAGAAATTCTCATTCAGACATTCTGTATCAGGGATCCCACTGTACTACTGTACTGTATAGTTCTTAAGGAATAACAACATCCAAGAATCAGGGGCTTTGCAGATGTTTGATCATTTAATTATAAAAAGTTTTGGTTTTATCTGCTTTGTTAAGAGGTGATTGAATGAGGAAGTTCGACCTTCAAAAAGAAGCAAGTGAACCCCAAAATCACCAATGCAGAAACAGACAGAAGGAATTTTGAAATACTGACATAACATTAAAGGAGAAGGAAGACATTAAAGATGTGGGACACTCTGAGACAGAGACTGACCATTTGCCTGTGTGTCACCTGATCGACACTGTTCGTCCCAGAGAGTAACGGGCAGACAGTGTGTACTGTCTCAATCTCTCTGTCAAGATACCTGTTACTGACTGTGAGCAAGCATTTTACAGCCAGAACTGATCTGTACTTAATTAAGAAATGGTATATATATTTGAGACATGTTAAAACAAACAGGCAGATTACAGGTATAAATCAAATAATGCTAGGCTTTTCATGCATTTTATTTGAGTACTTTGTATGTGAGTAAAAACACAGTTTGTATGAATGATTTTGTATTGCTGCCTGGTAGCACTGGAGCCCTGGATTCAATTTCCGGGATGATCACTGTGTGGAGTTTGCATGTTCTCCCCAGGATCACGTGGGTTTCCCACCAGGTGCTCTGGTCTCCTCCCACCATCCAAAGACATACTGGTAGAATAACTGGCTGCTAGGAAAATTGACCCCGGCGTGAGAGTGTGTGTGTTTGTGTCTGTCTGCCCTGCAATGGAATGGCTTTCATATAATAATAATAATTGTTCACACTTATATAGCGATTTTCTGGACACCCCACTCAAAGTGCTTTACAGGTAATGGGGATCCCCTCTACCACCACCAATGTAAAACATCTACCTGGATGATGCGACAGCAGCCATAGTGCACCAGAACGCTCACCACACATCAGCTATCAGTGGGGAGGAGAGCAAAGTAATGAAGCCAGTTCATAGATGGGGATTATTAGGAGGCCATGATTGGTAAGGGCCAATGGGAACTTTGGGTTACACCCTTACTCTTTTCGAGAAACGCCCTGGGATTTTTAATGACGACAGAGAGTCAGGACCTCAGTTTTATGTCTCACCCGAAGTACAGCGCCTATTTACAGTATAGTGTCCCCGTCACTATACTGGGGCATTAGGACCCACATGGACTGCAGGGTGAGCACCCCCTGCTGGCCCCACTAACACCTCTTCCAGCAGCAGCCTTAGTTTTTCCCAGGAGGTCTCCCATCCAGGTACTGACCAGGCTCACACCTGCTTAGCTTCAGTGGGTTGCCAGTTGTGAGTTGCAGGGTGATATGGCTACTGGCATAAGAAAGTGTATAGAGTGTATCCTGCCTTGCACCCTTTGCAAGTAATGCATGTAATGTAGAATCATATTGTATTCTGTATATACTGTATGCGACTCAGAGACAGGCCAGCTGCTAACTGTGATTTGTCCCAGGACCAATGGACATCTCTTCTCATTGCAGGGTGCAGAAGGGTTATAGTGCCACACAGAAATGTCATCTTACTGTTATGTAGCAGCTTTTTTAAGAAACAGAAGCTGCAGTGTGCTGATTGGCTGAAGCCAAAATGCCAAACTTTGAGATCTTCTTGAAACAGAGATAGGGAGAAAAACCAAAGGTAAAATAGTTCTGATGTAGTGTGGGCTGAGGTAGAATAAGCAGCAGCAAGCAGTCTGAAAACAAAAGGGAGCTGGGAAGGGAAAAAAGTCTCATTCGGGAATGTTGGGAAAGTCGGCTGCTGAGCAAAGACAAAAATAGTATGCCACTTGGAAAAAACAAAAGAAAAATCTGCTGGCAATGATAAGACACGCGCCAGAAGAGGAAAATAAGGATTTTGTGGAATCAAAACCTCCAAATACAGTATCTGAAACCAGTATTTGAAAGTAAAACAAAATGTAGACACAGAGGAATGAGCAGCCTTAAATATATGGTTTGTTGGGGTAATTGAGACCTTTGTTGACTGAAATAACTTGAGTCTGTTTGAGAGGCATCACTACCTAGTTTGCACATGCTTAGTAGGCAGGGAGTTGCCCTTGGCTAAGATGAGACGCGACTTGGTTTTCAGCAAGTGCCTCTTAGCTAGGGTAAGCAGCCTTACGTTTTCTGGTCCACTGGAAACCTTTCTGTGGCAAAGCACATCTGTACAGCGATTGCATTCTAACTGAGATAGGCCCTCTGATGTAGTGAATGATGATGTTGTGAGAAGACCTCCAACATAGCATAAAAATCAGGCACAGTGGAGTGCCTCTGAACCAAGACGGCTGTAAGTGAAAAAACCTGTAGAAACCATCTAAATTAAACAGGCAGTAACGGTATTGACAAAATGATTTTCATTTAAATAAATGTTTAAACTAGAAAGAGCAGAAGAGAAACTAAGATGATCAAATTAATGCAGTTTTTATGGGAGCCTTCAGCTTCCCCAACATAGATTGTGAAAGACTTATTATTAGCAGTTAAACTCTTATTAGAGTTATTAGCAGTAGAACCTGAAATAATAGAAGTGGTTAATGATGACTCGATTACTTAGTTTCTCAAAGCACCAAGTTGAAGTTGAAATACAAGTTGACATACTTTTACAGATCTTTTCTATTCAAACAATCATAACAACAGATTGAGGTAAAGAGAAGTGAGAGAACCATTAGAGAACTGTGATCATAAGGTTTTAGTGCTTTGAAGCTTATTTTGACATGTGCAGGCTGAGTCCAAAGCAAAAGTTTACAATTTACAGGAAAACGAGATGACTTTGAAGGAGAGATATTATCACTAAGAGAAGTAAGATAGGACAGGAAAGGAATGAAATCAGAGGAAATCAGAGGAAATGGGTTGTGTTTGAAGAACACAACAAATTGGTCCCAAAAGTCAATAAATCAAAAGTCAAAAAACAGTATAATACCTCAGAAAAACAACTAGGACAAATATAAGGTGAAAGAGAATGCTTTATAAAATTTAAATTAAATTAAAGAAGAGTACAATTATGCATAAAATCATTAAATGTCCTTTCAGTATGTAATGGGCTGTCAGCTAGCTGTTGCTATTTACTGCCATGACAAACAGGAACTCTGTCCCTCCCTATATAAACTCTGTTCAGTAGGTTGGAGATGGAGACAAGTTATAAACCAGAGCTCAGCAGAAGTGAAAACTGCCTTACGTATCAGTAGAGTTGCCATTGGCTGCAGGAGAAGGCTAACAATGCAAGAAAGTGACTTCCTGAAACCCGGAAGAATCACCCTGTTAGAAAACAGAGGTTCTACACTTTAGAACAACAGTTTATGTCCTTCATTGTTTCATTGCCAACTGGACAATGGAAGGTGTCTGGCAATGGAACTGATGGTATTAGACATATATTCTCTCCAAAGATCAATGAACATAGAAGAGTGCTACTACCTCTTCTTAAGAAATACAGAAAGCGTGCTAATTTGAAAAACAAAAACTATATATAGATGGCCAGTTGTTAAGAGATTAAAATGTCACACCATGGTTATACTGAAAATGTCAAGGTTGTTTGATTTCTTAATTTCAAGATGGCTTATCCAAATTTTGCTTTAAGTGACCGATTTTATTGATTTTTAATTAACTTTTGCTGTCTGTTTCATAAACTTAGTGTTACCATTGTTCCGTGTTGTTCCAGTCACTATTGTTTTGTTTCCACCTTTTTTTGCTTTCCTTTCTTGCCATGCCTATTTTGTGTTGTTCACCTTCTCTGTTTTTTCCCTTATTTTTTCTGTGCCTTACCTGTATCTAATTTTCCTCCATTCTATTTTCCCTTTCTCTCCTTTTTTATCCTTTTATTTGTTTTTTCCTTTTTCTTCATCTTCCTTTCTTCCTACTGATATTTTTTGGATTCTTTTCAACTTTATGTACTCTTATGTTTGCATGGTTTGGGGCCGAGTTCAAATTGGAACTGTCCAATCTTGCTACTGTGAATTGGAGATGAGACAAATTCAGTAAGCTGTCTGTCCAGTTGCTACAATGAGGGAGATAGTTCAAGGATAACGTCCTGGCTCACCGATACCTGACAGTTCTTGTCTGGAGGGGTTATGTGACCCTCTCTTTGGTTTCTGACGCTGATGCAGACCGATGTATGAGGTGAGACAGACAGGTTATCGGTACTGCAGGCAGAAGTAAGTTCTAGGAGAGGCATGTCTTCAGTGCCCTGTCGCAAAGAAAACTGTGTGCTGCTGTTGCAGGCAGTAATTCAATTGGCAGCACAGATTTCAGAGCTGCTGCTCTGCACTTGAAATGTCTCACATCTCACCCAGTCCTCTAATGTAGCGTGGGTGTCACAAGGGTTCTGATCTTGCAGTGCTCCTCCAAGTCCTGTTCAATGGTTTAACCTGTTGGCTGAGGAACCCAGAGGTTCAGATTGCTGATACCAGCACCCTCAGCACTGCTAGGTCTGGGAAGACTGTTGTCGTCTGTGTCTTCATTCTGTTGGAGATCTTCTAACAGACTTCTCTAACCGAGTTATCTTTTACCCAGGAAACCAAAGTTCCCTAAAAATACAGAGCGACAAGGTTCAAATACTTAGCTCCAGTCAGGTTTTGTCTGGATGATCATGAAGTAGGCACTCTCGCCTGGCACAAGCTTCAAGTTCCAACTCCTCCTGACTCCCCTCTTGTCATCTGACCTCCTTTCTTTCCTCTCTTCATTTCCCCCTTTCTTTTCTCTAAATGTGATCTTACAGTACATAGTGCATTTCTGGACTGCCCATTGTCAATCATTAATCCTTATCCTGAACTTTCCCAGGAGGTCTCCCATTCAGGTACTGGCCAGGCTCCCACCTGCTGAGCTTCAGCAGGCTGCCAGTTCCGAGTTACAGGGTGATATACTGTAGCTGCTGCTTTCTATTTTGTGAAAAAGCCTAACATAATAAAAGGTTTAATTCTAATTAGTAATTGATGTTTTTTATTCTTATTTTATATTAATATTTTATAAGGTGTTATTTTTAGATTACACTATCAAATAAATATATGAAAATATCAGAAAGCCAAGAAACTAAATTGAGTTAATTAAGCTGTTCAAATATGTTGCAGTGACAATTAAGATTTAGTGCGTGCAGTAGTTATTGAATACTTTGCAACTCTGTCTTATATTTCTGTTGATACAAGTTCTGTAAGTAGTCATTAGCAAATCTGAGTATCTGCAGCAGTGACGTCAGGGCCAGGACATCAGTCTCATCATTCAGACTGATTTGCTCATGGTAGTTCTTCACAGGAAGAATGCAGTTTACAGGAATGCCCAATATCTTACTGGCCTTCTCTATCTGAAATATAAAGACAGACAGGGGAGATTAGTGCTAAATAAATATAAGTCCATGGAATTTAATTGTCCTTTAAACATTGAAAATGTGAGAGAAAGCCCAATCAAATATCTTTATTTTCTATTTTATCTATTTCCTGTGCCTCATTGAATACCTGCCTGTCTGCAGATCTTGCTATACAGGGTGACAAGTGATCAGCCTATGGTGTCTAGACTTTGCTCTCCTTTCTTTTTATGAGAAGATATTCTGCTGCCTTTCCTGCTCCAGCAAGCCATTCCTGTTCCTCAACAACAGTTTTTTTTAATTACTGGGCCAAGCAAACAGGCTCCATCATGCCTATCTTAAACCTGTGACTCACCTCAGTACAACTGTGCATCTGCTGTATTTTCTTAAAGTATACCTCACTCAGAGTCTCAAAGGATTGTTAGCCAACTGGGTCTCAATCTAGCAAGAACCCTTAACTTCACAACTCTTACTGTCTCCTTCCCAGCTGGAGCCTAAATGCTGATTAATTATGAAGTTAATTAGCAAGATATTTTGAAGCACACTTCAATATTTTAATTGGGTACAAATTTGTAGCAGTTTTTTCACTAAGTGTGACTTGAAAAAGTTAATGCTCTAACATTAAAACCCACTGCATCAAAGTTTAAACTCACCTGGTGTTTGATGTATCTGCTCCTGTACACTTTCTTGAGATCACCTGCTACCAATGGACAGGCTAAATCCACCTTAGTTAACAGCACAACCTGGGGAATTTCTGGATAAATTATAGAACAAAATACATTATTTTTTCTAACCTTCCTTATGCAGAGGTTAAGATTTTGGAGATTGGAAATAGAAAAGAGTGCTTTATTGATTATCAATTCTGATTTTATTTCCAAGAAATTTGATTTTATTATACCTTTAGAATATTTGTTGGATCAGAAAATTTGTACAGATTGCATATGGGTCAGTTTTAATTGCATTCAGAAATACTCTCAAATTCATTATTATGTTAAGAACTTCTACAATCCTAGATGTAATAATGCAATCCACTGTTGTTTCTACAAATGAATGACTACAGTAAATCAATTAACATTTTCTCATATTCAAGCTCTAAAAATGTATACTAAAATATATATACTAATACTTAGGTATTCATTTTTAAAGAAACATAATTTTTTAAAAGGAGTAGCCAGTTGCTGTATTTACTCAGTCACTCTAAATTGCCTGTGATTAATCAGCTCAGTTTATATGTACAGTATACTCTTAATACAAAGAAGAATGGTGATCTTTACAGGCATTACACCTGCTTATCATATCCATACATCATGTGTCCTGTAATGAGATCTGTAAGAGAGCTGATACCAATCTGAGGGTGAGCTTGTCCCTCCTTAATACCACTGTGAGCTTCTACCAGAAGTGACTGTTGAGCAGTAAGAAAAAATGATTCCACAGCAGAATAAAGTCCTTTAAACTACTAGCTAATTACTACCAAACAGATACCAAACCAATTTCTATTTTTTTAGCTTGTAATTTTTAACCATTTGAGAGATATGGCTTTCAGCCAGTTTGGGAAGCCATAGCTGTCATGAATTGATACAGATGTGGCAGTCATATATACAGTATGAATGTTAGGCAGAGACAGTAGGCACAGAAACAACATGATGAGATATACTGTAGGAGACAAGAGGGGTTCTGACAGAAAAGGAGATGGTGGGGATCTGCTTTTGTCAAATAGTGGAGCTGGCAGTGTAGAGCACATTCCCTGGGAGTCTCTCAGACTGCAAGTGAACTTTTCTGTCTTGACACGCCCAAGTGATTGGAAAATGAGAGAGATGGAAAACGTGTGAGCAGTCATGTGTGAATGAGTGAATGTCTGGTGGGTGCTGGGCTGGAAGGGCCACTGATATGTGCGTACGGTCAGTTAGACTGGAGAGCAGGGGATTCAGTGGGATTTGGTCTGCTTAGATAGAAGACAGGAGAGGTGTGAATCTTGCTCTTTCTCTGACAGTAAACCAGAGAGAAATCTAGAGAGCAAAGAGTGTGGCCTGAAGAACACTGGCTGTGTTTCAGAAGAGTGATGTTGGGTGTGTCTGCACTGCAGGGATAGAGAATGTCCCTGGCAGAGTCAATGAAAAAAAAACAGTGTAGTGAGTGGCGAAAAGATCATGTACAGAGGGGTCCACAATGAGTTCACCCAGTGGTGTGGGGTCTCTATTGCATAGGATTCAAATATTTATAAATACATATTAATCATTAGCAGATATTCAAAAATGAAACCTTTGATATGCAAACTATGTCAAATTTTAAAAACATTTAAACAGAAGAACTTTTGTACAGTATTTTGTACTGCCCCTGAGTGCTCCACACTCACTATTACATTGCTAATGTATTGGGTGACATTGCTAATGTATTGTTCTTTATTACAATTAAATAGATTTTTTAAACACATTTTATTGCCCCTTACATAAGAATTATCTTACCAAGATCACTGGCATTTGATCTGATTTCGTTTATGAGCTTCAGAACATGATTTCCCATAATGCTCAGTTGATCTGCTGCTACAATGTAGACAAGACAGTGGGTCCTGTCATTCACAGTGGGATTCTTGTTGAAATATGGAGAATCATCACTGAGAGGACTGATTGGATTGAACTGATGGAGACAAAGAGTATAAAAATGCAATGAACAAGGTACAATAGCTCTATTTTAATTACTTGTGATACCTTAGCACCTCTTAAAGCTCGAACCATATCTTATACTCCCTCTGCCTCATGCTTTACTGACCATTTGCAGTCAATGAAGACAGTCTCCTGAAAACTAGAACATAGGTTATGACTTTTTGGCTTGAATATACATCTTCAGTTTTAGAATGAGCATTTGATTAAATACAAGGTTGTCTACTAGACCCAGATACTTCTTCTATATCATTGAGAACAACTACAACAGTCCTAGATACCTGCATACCATCATTAATTTACTGCTGACAATAAACCTCTATATATTATCTATGTATTACCTGCTTCATCCCAACTTTGCAATACTCTCTTAGAGTTTATCTCTATTTTCTATTTTCATTTTCATCAGTTTCCTACATCAGCTACCTACCTGCTTTAATTTATAACAATTTGCTCAATGTGTCTTGAGACTTGTAATATATTCCACTGTACTGGTGTTTTCTTCACTGGACTATAGTGGACTATGACCACTAGGACTTTGTTGTTACACTGGGTTTAATCCTTTGATCCACATAAAAGGGGGTGCTAGACAATGTGAATTTGTTCCTTGCCACTAGTGTCCAACTCCCCTGAACAAAGAAGTGGTAAAAAAGGCACCACTCGAAAACTTCATTGTGCAGATATGCAATATTGTCATTTAGAGAGCTCCCACCTGGATTCCTATAATTAGTCTTAGTCTCACAATGGTATGTCTTGTGACGGGGGTAGGACTGAATGAACTGGAAGCCCCTAGTGTCACGAGCTGCACACGAGCACCTAACTGCATTTCTGTACATTCCCACGAGCATTTCTCACCCACGCACTAATTAATCAATTCTCATTCCACATGCTTTTTTCTGCTTATACCCACTCACTCCGTTCTGTCTCTGCTCATTGTTGAGGTCTCTTCCTCCGAGCTATCCGCCAGTAGTGATCTAAATTATTTTTGTTCCTTTTGGCTACTGAACTCCTCGACCTACTCCTGGATTATGACTTCGCTTTACATTTTGACAAATACTGGTTGTGCCTCGCATAGGATCCAAACCAGTAGCTCCTGAGGTTTCCTTGTGACACCAAGTCAGGGCCCTGCATTGTAGCAGCACATCGCTATTGATCTTTAGCAGCAGGGATCTAAGTGTCAGCTGCTCCCGGCAGACCCCTGTATTCAAGCAGCCATATTTAGTGACCACACTGGTCACCCCAGCTGGGGGAAGCCCCAGAAAAGTGCCCCAAATATTTTCCACACAAACTTTCCTGGATAGGTTACCTCACCTATTTGGACATTCTGTCTTGTGTTTGAACAGAAATGTCTCTAGCAACTTGCAACATGGAACATACTGTTCTGTTCTGAGTTCTACTAATAATAACTCTGTTAGGCCAGTCCACACCTCAGAAAGCAAGGAATGGACCCTATGCAAGTTCCAAGGTCACAAAGATCCAAAACAGCAATGAGGGAATCCAAGGCTTGGGTCAAAAGGCAAGGGGGGAGTCCAGAGCCAGAAGGAGAAGTTGAAAATCTAGGTCTAGGACTATGATCCAAAAAGTCATGGTCAAGTAACTGGACAAAATCCAAAAAAACAGACCAGCACTGGACACTAGGCAAGTAATGATTGGCTGCTGATGTCTGCTTGGTCTGTGTCTTGGCTGTGCAGTCTGAGCAAGCAATAGGGGTTTGGGGTGTCCTCTGGTGGCCAGATGGTGGAACCTTTACAAATTCCTTACACTTATATAGCACTTTTCTAGACACTCCACTCCACCTCTAACCAGGTGGTAACTACAGGTAATAGTGACTCCTCTCCACCACCACCAGTGTGTTACCCAACCTGGATGACTTGAAGGCACCCAGTATGTGCCAGTACTCTCACCACACACCAGCTCTCAGTTGGAAAGAGAGCAGAGTGATGAAGCAGTTTAGAGAAGAGGATTATCAGGAGGCCATGATGGGTAAAGGCCAGGGTGAAATTTAGCCAGGACTCCTGGTTTATACCCCTACTCTTTTCGAGAAATGCACTGGGATTTTTAATGGCCACAGAGAGTCAGAACCTTGATTTTATGCACCGTATGGGCCAATCTCACAGCTCTTTCATCACCAACCTGAGCTTTCCCAGGAGGTCTCCCATTCAGGTAATGACCAGGCTCACACCTGCTGAGCTTTAGTGGGCTGCAAGTTGTGAGTTGCAGAGTGATATAGCTCCTGGCATACTAGCTATGGTACTGACAGGCCCAATTGCAGGACTGCATTCATTGTGGCAGAGTTGAAAAATGATAATGTTGATATAGCTGCTCTAAGTGAAACCATATGTCTGGCTGAATGGTCTCTCGGGGAAGACAGAGAAAGCTACACCTTCTTCTGGAAGGAATAGCCCTAAGTAGAACAACATTTGCATGGTGTTTGCTTTGTAATAGAAAAAAATGCTTCTGAATCTCACAGAAACATCTACTAGCATAAGCAAAAAGCACATGGAATGGCACTTTCCATTTCCACTTTCCTGTTATTTGTGAGAAGCATGCCACTCTCCTTAGTGCTTACAAGCAAACTCTTAAATCAAAGAATCAAGCAAAAGGCTGCTTATAATGTTGGATGATGCTCTCCACTAAGTCCAAAAAAATGACAGGATCCTTCTTCTAGGGGACTTCAATGGAAGTGTAGAGAGCAAAAGTGACATTTGGAGTGGGTTCCTTTGGAAACCTAGGCATTGGATATGCTAACAAGGATTGAGGCTGTTATGTCTCTTCACTGAGCATAGTTTCACTATCACATCTTTCAGTTGAAAAATAAACACAAAGCCTGTTAGATGCACCAATGTTCAAAGTACTGGTACCTCATAGATTGCATCATTGTGAGGCGCTCTGATATTAAACAAGTTTTTGACACACAAGCCATTAGAGGGGCAGAGTGCTGGATGAACCACCAGATGATCATAGCTAAACTCAAAATGAAGGCTGGGCCAACTGTTCACCTAAAGAAGTCCTCCAAGAAAAAAACTACACTTTGTATGACAAGAAGTGGAGGCATGAAACAACTTACGGCATTCTAGAAACTGTGAAGCTCAAATGAGTACAGAGCTTTCTATAGAGGACAAATAGACCCCTATATACAGTATCTCTCCATGAAAAGGCGGGCAGCCCAATGCATTGGCTATAGTAGAAAAAAACATCAAGACTGGTTTGATGAGGGCTCAGAAGAAGTCTCCAACTTACTAGGCATCATGCACAAGGCCTACAACCCCACTTCTGAGGTTCTCATAAAACAGTAGGAAGAATGTAGGAGGAATGTACACAATGTTCTGCGATACTTCTGAAATGAGTGGTGGGTATCCAAGGCATAGGAAATTCAGGACTACACGGACAAATATGACGTGCATAACTTCTATGATACAGTGAAGATCTTTCATGGCCCTCTCAATCCTATTATGAGTGCAGATTGATCTATTTTAATAATGGATCAGTGAAAAACAGTACAGAAGTAGAGCAAATTTCCAAACACTCTCAAACCAGCCGAACTTGGTTTATTTCCTCTCCAGCCCACCATCCAGGGTCTGGGTCTCCCACACACATTCTCTGAAGTCTACCCTGCCATCAGGTGCCACAAAAATGACAAAACTACTAAACCTGTCTTCATCCTGCTGAAATTCTGAAAAGGGGAGATGTTTGCACCAGAATCATTCAGCTCTTTGCTGTGGAAGTGTGTAGACAGGAATGCCTTCCACATCAATGGAGGGATGCAAACAATCACCATGTATATGAAGAAGAGTGACAGATCCTTTTGCAACATTAACAGCTGTCTTGTCAGCTGCTGGCAAAGTTCACTGACATCATCTCTGAGGAACTGCTTCCTGATGTGCTTGCAGTCCTATGTCATATCTTCCTTCTATGTGTTACAACCCTCCTGCCCATGGGCATGGCAGCAGAGAGCGGGGCATTTCTTTAAATTTAGCTTGAATGGGAAACACTTCAGTGTCAGGAGATTCCAAACTAAATGCAAAATAGTATAGTAAGCTAAAATCATGTTATTCAACTTCAATATGCAGATGATTGTGTTTTTGTGGCACACACCCCAGAAGCAATGCAAGATACAGTACACTCACTGCAGCTGTACAAGGGTGCAATAGAATAGGACTTGGGATTTGTTTTTGGAGGTTTTGTGTCTGTGGCCATCCAGAGATCCACCTGCCCTACCAGCTTCTTACCCTTTTTGACATTTGACACTGTGCCTCTCTAAAGCTGCCTCTCTGAAGATTGACCTAGACATACAGAACAGCATCAGACAGTCCTCATCATCTTTTGAACATCTACATATAGAGGGTTTTCAGTAACAGCAATCTATACCTAAACACTAAAGTGGCAGTATATAAGGCAGCGCATTCATACAGTATGCACACTTCTTTACAGTTGTGATTCATGGACACTTTACAGCTGTCATTTAAAACAGCTGGATTCCTTTCACATAAAATGCTTCCAGCGTATTCTGAAATTGACCTTGTGACACATACAGAAATCCTACAAAGAACCAACCTACTAACTACTGAAGAGACAAAAAAGTATATGGTTATATTTGGTCCTGTCCCAACGCCACAGAACTTTGTGTGCACTGTCTGTGGAGGACAGTGTGCTTCTCATATAAGACTATACAGCCATTGAAAGACTCACAAATATAAGTGGAAGTAATCATCGATTGCAATGGAAATCCAATAGTATAGACGTAACCTCTTGAAAAATTCAGTATATCATGTCCAGTGACCAATGTTTTTGACTATTTCAGAAACAAATGATTAATTGTAGTACCACTTACTTCCCCAGACAATTTAAGAAGACCAACAGGCACATACAGGAATTCAACAAATTACTTTTATAAGCTCAAATGTTCTTTAGCAAAAGTAATCATATGTTGTTTGGGTGTTTTCACTTTGTTTTTCAAATACATAATCCAAACTGGGCTTTTGTCCTAGACATTGTCTACTTTCTCATCATTTCCAAGTTATTTAAGATCACACAGTAGTCTGTTAAAGGGTTCTCTGAACCTTCCTGCCTGTTGAGAATACTGGTGATCTTCTTGTCACACAGGTCCAGTACCTTCCAGCGCTGAAAAAAATAACATTTCTTTCGAAATTTCAATTTCTTTCGAGTACCTTTTAAAATTGAACTACTGCCTGGTTATTTCTGTTCCTTGAAATGGATTATTTCCTTTCCCCAAGCTTCCCATATAAAGAAGTAAATGCTTAAACAGATGATTTTCCTAAAGTAGTTATGTGGTGATGTAAAGGTGATGCAATTTACCGTGTATCCATCTCTTATATGGCCTTTCACCGCACCGATGAAGTCATCAGGTCTTGTCAGAATATGATCTATTCCCATGATGTCATAGATAACAAAAGGGAGAAATCCATCTTTTCCTTTTGCAGGGTCCTCTACATAGTATGGTGTAAGCTAAATGACAGAAAGGCAAAAAGATAAATTCTGAGAGAATTATGCCCATTGCACAGATACAATTTAATAACCACTTTTAGGTGTAAGTGTATTGCACTTTTAAGGGTCCTTATGGAGATTTTAATAGAATTGTATTGTGATTGAAGGACTCCATCAGATTTTCTCACTTCAGGTCCTCATGGACAGTTGCCTTTGTTTTGCTTCCAGTCCTAATGGAAACTTACCGACATGTTAAAGACATTTCTACATTCGATCTTTTTATATTCTCACTTCAGGAATGGATTTTCAAAATGACTCTATCTAGTTGTAGTGTTGTCAAAAGTGTAGTTGTTTATTGCATTTGCACAACAAAAGATAATAACTGGGATATTATTTAGGATATCTGGCTGTGGATGCACTGGTGGTTCTGGAAGATAAAAAGAACCTGCTGTGATGAAAAAGATGTGGCACCCTTATAATTGCTAGGTCACATAGTTGGCTCCATAAGAAAAGTTTCTGCATTTAGGAGCCACAATCCTTGACATTAACAGCTAGTGTGAAGTCATCGTAGAGCTTGCAATATATTATCACAACTAAGTTACGTTTATCAGCTTGCAAATGGTTTATAAAGAATTAGAATGTATTAATTTATTAATCTCCAATAAAATCAGCTCATTCTCTAGATGGCTACTAACCTTCTTGGTAAAACTATGTGTATCCTTACCGGCCAAAGCTCGGCTTGTCAAATAACCTTGAAACACAGAATTAACTGTATTGACGTAACTGGACTTTCCAGCCTTGATCTGCCCAGTCATCATGATTCTTAATTCTTTTGCTTCTTTATATCTTGGTGTTAAGTTCCTTATTTCTTTCATCAGTCGTTCTTTCTCCCTGGAAGCATGAAAGAACACATCATATAACACAGGAAATTCAGACTTTATGTATAACTGTGTTCCTACACCAGTATATGGATATTTATTGTCAAAACCAGCATGACAGCAGGAAATATTTACATTTTATATTTACACTTTACTGTGATTTTCCACAACCCTTCTATACATAGAGATCACTGTACTTAACAATTTTTTGCCAGACCAAGAATTATGGTTCTTTACAAAATGCTATCATTCTTCCTGACTCATGTTTTTTTTGGGCTATTCAATTAAGAACATGTCTGTTAATATACAGTATAGGAACAAGTAATAGGTTTATTCCATGCTGAAAAAAAGAAGAGAAAAAACACAACGTTTCAGCTGTAGAGCCTTCTTCAGGTGTGTTACACACCTGAAGAAGGCTCTACAACCGAAACATTGTGTTTTCTCTCTTCTTTTTTTCAGCATGGAATAAACCTATTACTTGTTCCTTTGCAGCCTACGCATGCTGATACAGCTACCCACCCAAATATACAGTATATTTCCATTAGGCCTATTTATTAAGTTAATTTTTATTTATTACACTCCTTCGGTCAATACTTGAAATGTATTGAAAAGAATAGTTTCAGGATAATTTTGGTTTCAGATGTCTTTCAGCATAGGAATTCCAAAACCCCTCTGTGAGAACGCATATGGACAGATCAGAAACTATGCACAAGAGATCTTTTATCCTCACAGCGCTGACATGTTCCCTGAAATGGTGTCTTAGTCTCCATCTTGTCTCAAACAGAAAATGGCCAAAACTCACACTCCCGTATTGATTAGCAAGACTGAGACATTAGCTTTTTCGAGTTAAAAGGCTCATGTAAATGTAAGCATTTTCTAATGTGTTTGTAAGCCCTAGAATCTACCGAATGTGAAGTGAATGAGAACGTGAAGAATCTTAGTTTGCGGGTAATATGTCCAATGCAAAGGTCAACGCAGATGTTCTATCATTGTCTGGAGGTACATACAGGAAGTGCATATCTGTAGATTGCCATTCCAGTTCAGCTCTTAATTTAATACTCATTATTGTCTTAATTGTGACTGTTTAAACAACTTCTGTCACACAGCAGCACTCCAGGACTGTATTTAACAGCCCCCATGTAGTTCTTGTAGCTATTGTCCCTATTGGGAGTATCAGCATGATGTAGGTTTCAGTTTTAAATACTTACTCTCTGGTCCATTTTGTTTCCCTCCATGGTGTATTAAGGTCTAAAAAACAGAAATAACACCATGACAGCCTCAATGACCGAAAAGCAGTGACTGGAAAGCATCACAATTTCTTCATCTTTATTTCCTATCATGTTGTGGTTAACTATAAAATTACTGTAAGGTATCAGACTGTCTGAGATTGTTGCAAAACTTTGAATTTAAACTTTGCACTGTATATTTGTTTACACCATACTACACTGATATGAAGAGGTTTCTCAATACTCCTGTGCGTGTATCAATCTGTCTGGGATATAGAAATGTACAGTAGACGAGCCCCTTAAAGGGGATCTGCAATGGTATTTTTATTTTTGGGGGTTAGAAAGAATCAACCTTGATAAGCACATTTCAAATCAAAATGAAAGTAAATTGTACACATGATCCTTTCTGAATGCAAGCTAAGATACTCAGTTTACTGAAGTTGTGGTTGTGACTGCGGAAGGAAATTGGCCATGTGACAAGTTTTTGAAATAATAAGATAGTGTGTTGTCTTATTTATGTGTAGGCCAATTTTCAGGGATGCAAATGCAGAGCCCAAGTTCAAGCTGTGGTGCAGGACCTTGGCTTGAGATTCTTGGAGAAAGAGGTATTGGTATTTTGGTGTATTGGCAACTCATTCCAAGACAGTCCATCTTACTCAGTTAAACATTACAAAGAACACATTACAGGCATAGTGCAAAGTGTCTTTTCTGTTTGTGGAATTAAATTCCATTTAAATTAAAAGCCTATCTCACTACATAGGAGAACTGCATTGAGTATGCAAATAGGGACCAAGTAATCTTTAACTCCTTGGATAAAATTTTGTGGCTATTGAGATATTCTTTTTCCATTTTTTTGAAGATTATGTATGAATGACAGGTCTTACCTGGAGATGGTTCTGGTACTGATTTGGAACCACCCATTGCTGTATTGAAGTACAAATGTGTTACACTCAATCAGCATCATTTTCATTAAACAATATTACTTAACTTTTAACTGTCAACTTAAAACTTAAACATTTTAAAACTTCAGTTTTTAAAGAGCAGATAGCATCTTGAGCATGAAAGGTCACCACACTATTTCGTTTGTGCCTTACTGAATTTAGAAAAATAAGGTGAATATATACTGTGCAGTACATGGGAACAGTTTCATCCTCTGGTTCCTTCGATATCAAGCCGTGGTAACTAGAAGATATTTCCCACACTCTTTGCGAAATTAGCGGTGAAGGAAAAAAAAAACATTGTGTAATTTAAAAAGAGAAATAAACACTTCATAGTTTCTTGTTCTCTTCACTTGATGAATCCTGAGACTATACTTACTATGTAGCTGGCAGATTAGAGCAATATTCAGTTATACCATTTTTACAAAAGAAAGGTATACAAATACAGTATTTGTAAATGAATGAGGGTATGGTCCTTTCCTGTTTTTCAAGCTTAAAAGTATAGATGAACTTTTAATTAACTTTTGACATTTATTATGATCCATGTATCCTGTGTGAGTGTAATTATAAATCTTTACATATAACATGATTTGGTGTTTTGTTGTTTTGAGTGGTTTAGAAGAGTTTATATTTGAATACCACATTAGGAAATTATGGTTGACTCCAGTGCCCAATTAAATAAAATTACAATCCTCTTTCAATTTTAAATTAATCAAGTTCTTACATGTAAGAACTTACATGTAATACAATACCCTCAAATATCTGTATTCAGCAAAAATTTGTATTTCTAATCTACTTATATGTGATACAAATTAAATGTTGCATCATATGTGTAGATTAATTAGGGAAAGAATAAACACTTGTATTATGCAATGACTGTACTTACTGAGTAAAATTATGATAATGTTCGGTGTAAAAGTATTGCTTGGTAATTATGGTGCTAGGTGCTATGATCATTTAAGTTTGCTCAAATGTCAATAATTATACAATTAAATCATTGTAATAATAATGATAAAGTAATTGCATGACATGTTCCTCAGGGTTTGATACTGGGCTCCCTACTATTCAGCATGTACATGTTCCCACTTGGCAAGCAATTAAGATCACATGGTCTGAATGATCATTTCAAAACTGATGATACGTCCATGCTAAACCTGACATTGAAGTGGCTGTTTCTGCACTGTAATTGCAGACATAAAACATGGATGACACAGACTTTCCTTCATTTAAACTGCAACAAGACTGAAGTTTTCTTGCTTCACCTCCCATCAACTAAACAGTGCAGTAACCCTATCTGTGGGGGTGCAATCTAAATTAAAGAAGGTAGGGGTGATACAGTATTTGAACCAGAACCAAAACATTGTAAAAACATCATTGTTCCACCTCAGAAATACTGCCAGACTACATCCAATGTTGTCGTTGACTATAGCTGAAAAGGTCATCAACACTTTTATCTTCTCTAGAATTGATTACTGTAATGCCCTACAGATGCAGCCATTCAAAATGGGTGAGGTATTTCGCGGCATACCCCGGTGGGCGTGTCACGGTATCACGCGGTATCACGCATTTCACGTGTGTCACGTGACTAACTATCCGGCGTCGCCTTGTAAAACCGCCAGGGGGAGCTTAACCTCTCATGTACAGCATTTGAGCCTTTAATTTTGAACTGTGT